ACTGCTCTAAACTACAGGACTAAAGGGATATGACAAATGAGTAACCTAAAATTCTGAATCAAGACATTATTGGACAACAGGAGAAACCTGAAGGTAATGTGTAGAGCAGATGATAGTAATATATCACTGTGTTCATTTCCTGATTTTTGATGGTTGTACTGTTGATATTCACGGGCTACTGCCATCAGGTTGACTACTTACTCTCAAATGGTTCTGAGAAAAATGTAGCTCTTCTGTGATTATGAAATCTTCAATAAGTATAGGTTAGAAGTATTTGGCAATTACCTTTGTAAGAGTTCACCTTATAGGTAAACAAAAAAAAAAAATACATTAAAATATTTGAGAAAATCACTGAAGTGTCCATAATACGAAAACAAGAAGAACTAAATATTGCCCACATACCTACAATTGTGGGACAAATTAGAACTTATTTAACATGTACAGTATACAATAAAGCACATGGTAGATTTTTATATTTATGCAAAACCATGTCTAAGATATATTAAATAAAGAGCAAGAAGGAGAACAATATGCATAGTATTTAAAAGATTTATGCAAACAAGTACAATTCATCTATAAATTGGGAAAAATAGGGTGAGATAACAATGGTTACTAGTACAACATGAAAAATTCTGGGGAGGAAAAGTAGATAGAAACAGTGATTTTACTTTTTAATACATATTTTTTTCCATACGCTGTACCTTTTACTTTAAGCTATTACTTGTACAGATAGCCTACACACTTTTAAAGAAGTAATTAGCATGAGTTGACATAAATTTATGAATGGTTAATTTAAACACAGGTCTGACTATATTCATATTTATTTCATCCTGGAGTCAAAAAACATTTTTTCCATATAATAATCAATAAAGAACATTTAATAGATAGTCATTTAATATATTTTTTCTTTACAAGTGTTATGACATGCATTTTCTATTGCTTGCTTCATTATTTAACTAACTTATATGTTTGATATATTTCTATATCCATTGTATCATACTTAATAATATCAAGTAGCAAAGCCTTCTTTGGCACTAGATAAACTGACCAGCATAGTATCTGAAAAAGTCAATATTGGTCCTGCTTACCTTCTGCATTTAAAATTCTAAAGAATTTTTCTGCTAAGTAATTCACTCCACGTTAGGATATAAATTCATGTAAATATTTCTCAATGGCACTCTTCCCAGGACAGTTTTTTTCACATGCAGAAATAAGAATAGTGCACATTTAAAACTTTGGCTTCTATCCACTAAATGCTGGCAGTTTTTTTCTCACTCGCACCTGGCAACTGTATGTAACATCCCCACAACACTTCTCTGGTGTTTAGACCACTGTAAAACATCCTACTTTAAGTATAGGTGACAGTACCTCAGTTATACCAAAACACAGGTAGCCTTAGAGGATCACCAGCCTATAAGTTTGCCTCAAAAGACAGATTACCAATAATAACAATGTCTTACCTAGGAATTTCTCAAGGTGGGGTGGTATAGAAAGCTGGCAATATTCTGTTTCTGATTTCTTCAGAGTATATAGCAAATTCATTAGTTAAAGAAAATTTACAGAATGTTTAGTGTAACAGCATTCTCTAAGAAATAGTATTGCTCCTGTAGGAAAACTCAATTTCACTTTAAATATTCTAAAAAAGCAAAGGACACAAAACCTAACTGGCACAGGAAGAAGCTAAGAAAAGAATCAAAGGACTTGTTTTCTTCTCACCTTTACTGTATCACCCATGTCTATCAAAAAAAATCCTTTCACCATCTGTTTGCTATGAAAAAGGAGTCAAAGTTTAAAGCAAATTGTGAATTATCTCAGATTTAGACAACAATCTAATAGCACAAACTGAAATGTGTATGAATGAAAAATAAAATCTCCAGATCAAGCTGCAATCTGGTTTTAAATTCTAACCATGTCAAGGCCTCCCAAAATGTATCAAAATCAATCATGCCAAGGACTTTTCTTCGTAATAAAGCTGTTCTCTCAGTCTAAATAGTCATAAATTTGGAGAATCAAAAATCTTAAACATGATTTTATAACAGTTATAATTGTGAGGAATTACAAATAGAACAGATTAAGACTAAATAATGGGGGGGAATAAAAGGAGCATTTGCTCCTTTGTACCTTCAGAAAATCATCCCAGATGTTAAACTTCACACTAAAGAAAAGCCAGTCACATAAAACAATGATGCTGCCATGAAAACACATTATCTTAGTATCCTTTTTAAAGTAAAAATTCCCTTTCTTTAAAGTCACTGAATTGACATCCTATCTAATAGCTTTTCACCTTGGATGAGATGTAACAATATCTCCAAAAGATGAGCAATCCATTAGTCAAACCATTAATACACAATTTCAATAATGACTTTCATGACAGGCTCTACACAGCAAGTTATCCAGTGTGGACAGCATCCTTTCTTTAGAGTACCCTGAGGCTTAAGAAAACCTCTGAAAATTTTAGACTCTTACAGGATTCAAAGATAATGACAAATTGGCTTAATTTGAGCATTTTTAATTTGTTCTGTTTGTGACTTTGTCAACGATATATTTACCATAAAGACAATCATAAGAATGTTTCGGAAGGGAAAGAATTTGAAGTAAATCAGAGCATTAAGTGAGAATTCAAAGATTCAAAATTGGCCGCTGTTTTAAAGTTGTGCTTTGCAACTCTAATTGTGCATATAAATCTCAGAGATCTTGGTAAATTCTACCCAGACTCACTCAGTAGATTTAGGTTGAGAAATAGATGCTATATTTCTAACAGGCTCCCAAGAAAGCCAAGACTGTTAATCCATGAACCACATCTTTGAATAGCAATAAACTCTAAATCATGACTAGAGTAAGATACAAAAGAAAATGTATCAAAAACACTTAAAAAGTTCTTTTGTGGTGTTTTTTCCTCTTTTGGTTTTTTAACTAGACAAGTTTTCACTGTAAATATTTAATGATTTTATCCAGATGGCTAATTTTGTATCCAACAAATTCTAATTTAAACTGGGGAAAATCTATTTAGATGAAAAGCTGAGAAACTTGAACAAAATAAAGGCTAATTAATTCTCATTCTACATGGAAAAGTTTCTTAAATAATTGGGTTTTGCACAAATATTCTATGAGAAGAAAAAATATATACTGGGAAATAATAAATGGTGAGTAACTCAATGTTAACAAACCAGGTCCACTCTAAGTTCTTTGTGTTGCAAAAAAAAAAAAAAAAAAAAAAAAAAAAAAAAACTTTTCATTTTTCTTTTTAACTTTAATGAGAATATTTTTCATTATGTAACTAAAAACTTTAACAAATTGCTGCTTGCAACATAGTTTGAATGAGAACACTACATACACTACAAAAGCTGATGAAAACTACTGAACAAAATCAAATATATTATCAAGTAGACAGTGATCTATAAAAATTCTTTATAAGTAGTTCGTTCTCAACGACTTATTTTAAATGAGGATTTAGTCATTCAATAAGCTTTTATTGACCAACTATCGTGTACCAGCAACTTTAATAAATGTAAATAAAGTTTGGATCAGGAATCAGAAGGACCTTTCTGATCTAACAGACTATGCTGAATTTATGGTCTTATTTTTTAAAATCTCTGAGCTTGTTTCCTTAAGAGTGGTGATGTGAATTAGACTGAATAATGTAAATGAACTGCCTAATAACATGCCTTATATAACTGATAAATGGTATCTGAAATACGTAGTTTGAGCTTAAGAATTTAATCCTGTCTTCTATTAGCCAGTTTTCTACAACACTGTTGCATGTTAGAGGATTATAAGCCAACTTGAAAGTGAGGCTGAATAAAGACTGAACAGATTTTTTTAAAAAATTATGAATTTCATACTCAAAAATATATAAATATGCTTTGAGCTTAAGTGTTGTGCATGCTGATGTATTCCACTAAACAAAACTGGGTACGCTATTTAAAAAAAAAAAAAAGAACAAACGCTTCAGCTATATGATTTTAAGCATAATGGAATCATGGCGGGCTATATAAGGCAGGGCAATTTTAGTGAAGCGCTAATAGACACCACTCTTCTTATCACCTTTGTAAAGACTACCCAATAGTAATCCTATTTTCTTGCAAGGTAAATATCAGGAATCCTGCTGGAAACAATTAACTAGGCAAGCAGTCAATTCTGAGAACCTAACTGGCTAGGCAACCTAACAAGCAGAAGTAATACAGCTACAGAGCTTTGTTGTCAGTCAGGCCAGGTGTGCCCACTGCAGCTTCAACAATTCTGGAAGCCAGGTAGGAGACACTAAGCTTGTTTCTTAATTGCTCCAAGCTTCAGGTTCTTTATCCGAAAAATGGTAATACTAACATCTATTTCCTGTATTTGTGCAAAAGGGAGTATGTCGATTCAATCAAATCGCCTTTATTTCTGAGAATAGCGCAGCCAATAACTACGTGCTATTATCTACAGTACAAAAACTAAAGTTCCTCCTTGTTATCGTTAATAAAACGTAAAAATGTCAGGGTCTTCTAAACTCTGTTCGTTTGAAGACACAAACGCTGAGAAAACCGAAGGGCAAAAACACGTATTTGCTACCCAACACGTGATGTTCCCATCCTACTTAGGCTGCCTCTGTAACGCCCTAGAAGGAAGTAGCACAGGCCGAGCTAGGGAAAATTGCGTTCTGAAAAGACTTTGAGGCAAAGAAAGGCTATTGTTAGACCAACCGAAAGTAAGGAAGATAGGCTATGTGGTCAGGAACAAAGTGATGGGCAATCAGGCTGCAGGCAGAGAAAGGGACCAGACATCCCCGACCCTGCGCTGGGGCCGGCTCACCGCGCTCCCTCCCAGTGTTTTCTATTAGGACACCCCGAGGCCGAGGCCCAGGCCGCGGGGATCACGCGTCCGAGCCTCCAGGGCTGGCCCGCGAGGGCGCAGACTTCCTGGGGGGACCCATCCCACTGCAGGCCCAGGCGGCCGCGCCGCGTCCACCTGGAGGCCTGAGTCACCGTCCGCACAAAAGCCAGGAGGTGGCAGCCGGTTACCTTCGGCAGGGAACTCCTCGAACTCGTCGTCCTCCTCTAGGAGACCCAAATCTACCGGTTGTTTTTTTTCTGACATCGCTACCCTCCGACCCCACTACCTCACAGATGACTACAGTAAGTTGGAAGCGTCACTCTTCCTCGGCGGCTGCAGCCACCCGTCGCTTGCGACACAGGCGCTACCATAGAGACTAAGGGACGAGCTACGGGACCAGCGCAAAGGATGCTGGGATGCTGGAGGTCCTCCCAGGGCTTCCTGCAGGTTTAGTAGTATTTCCAATTTAGAAAGGTGAATTTTGTTGTTTTACTACCTTAGTGAGACTCTGAACTGAAAACAACAACAACAAAAATCCCCTCATAATGGGCAGAAAATATGTCAAACGCCTTTACTTATTTTCCAACTGAAGAAGAAAATATAGAAAGGTAAAGTAACTGCCAACATTCATGAGTTCTGTAAGTACCAGGCCCTAACGAACATTATTAAGCTGATCTTTAAACTAATTCCCTACGCATAATATTAAAAATCTCCACATCACAGAAAACTAGGGTTCTGAAAGAAGCACTCAGCCGCTCAGGTGTGCTAAAGGATCCAAATGCAGTTCTGTTTGCCTGTCTCAAATCTCCAACCTTCCCATTATGTAGTGTTCCTTGGGCTTGGGATTATTTTGTGGCAAATGGGCTCATTAAACAGAGTTTGAGGATACATGTAGAAACTCGAGTTTATAATTTTTACAATACTATGTAAAAATGAGTAGGTATAACATACTATCCAAAATATGTCATTTAGAATTTTTGAGTGTCTTAAGTATAATAGTGATCTAGAATTATATGTGTCCTATACATGGGTATGTAACGTTGTGAATGAGCATGAAATATATAGGACATTATAAATTTTGGTAAACCTGTTTAAATACTATTTTTTAATTCAACAACTTTAGTTCATACTGTCTACCAGATGTTGTGTATTAAACATATATAGAAAAAGCCCTTGGCATACCATCTATTCAGATGTATAAGTAGATAAATCACAATGAAACATAATTGATTTGAATCTTAATTTGAATCCATCTTAAAATTATTTGAGAAATCAATACATTGTGTGGAATTATAGAGTGGAACAAAGGACAAATGGATGAGAACTATATTAAGTAAATTTTTATGTGGTAATCATGATTTCCCATTATGTGGCCTTGAAGCCTTATAAAGTTTTCACTTATTAATTGGAAAGGCTTTATTCTGGGCTTCTTGATATGGAAATATTTGAAGCTATAGTATATGAAGTTTTATTCAAATATTTCAAGGAAAAAGTCGGGTTATTTGGTGGTGAAGCACTAGGTTGCCGAAACAGTCATGCTTTGACCTGTATTGTTATATTGTTATGTCCTGTTTTATCTCAATCTCTCCCTTATTCTTTAAAAAAATTATTTAGTTATTTCTTATGTTTGTTTTAATTAAGGGGAAAAATTAAAAAAAATTAGCAGGATATATAATAGTAACTTTTTTTGATTTCCTATTAACTTGTTTTGAAGTCCTGTAATACTCCCACAATCTTGTTTTGACTGATTAGACTCTGTTCCATTCTGTATGATAGTATCAAGCTTGAGAGTATAGGCAACTACTTTGAAGGCAATAAGATTCACTAAGATGCCCATTCTGGTTTGACTATTGTCTCCTTTGGAAGTCCTGTAATGTTTACAATGCTTAAGTTTTATTGGTCTTGTTCTCTACTGTTTTGTTCAACTTTATAATATCTAATGAGATAGACAATTCTTTTTAAGGAAACAAGAGACATCGTTGATAACCATTGTTGATAACCTTGTACTCTGTTTTACATCATGTGCTATGTCTATCCTTGGTTTTGACTGACAGCTTTGTTTTGCCATATTTGACTTTATTCTCTCCCCCCCCAAAAGTAATAAGAACTAAGGAGTAATAAAACCCAAAATGTGTAAATTTTGTTGTAAAAAAGAGCTCTAAAGGATACAACAGCAAGTGTGTTTAGGGGTGTTAAATAGCTGACCATATTAATGTTTTTGGTTGGATCATTGAACACAACTGTTTGCAGTCTCACTGTTTGAATGTCCACTTTGTATTGTTTGATACTGTGATTTGAGCAACTATTTCTAAGATGATAATATGTAATCTATTAACTGGTGATTTCTTACTGTTTTTTTTTTGTAGTTCTGCATTACTTGTACCCTTACACCGCTTTGTTTTGTTTTGTGTTTTTCTCTTTTTCCTTTTAAATAAATTTTTTTAAAAAAAGAGAACTATATTAAGTAATTTTTAAGAAGTAATATGACCCTCATACTATTCTGATTAGTATTGATTGCTGAACATGTTGATATCTAAGCAGTAACAACAAGAACAAAAAATAAATGTGGGATGGAATACATATATTAATTAACTTGACTTAGTCATTCCATGATGTATACATAGTTTGTAAATACACAGCTGGTCCTTGATTTGTGAGGGTGCAGCTTACAATTTTTCAAGTTTAGGATGGTGTCAAATCAGTATATATTCAGTAGAAATTATACTTTAAAGTTTGTTCCTTTCCAGTGCTAGAAATGTATGATAAGCTACATTCATTATGTTCAGTAGAGACACCAACCACAGCTCTCAGAGAGTTATGCAGTTGTGAAACATCCTTACTCTACAGTGTACCACGTTGGTAAGTTAGATTATTCATTAGTTAAGAAACATGAAATGCATTTTTATTTGTAATAATTTCAATTTGTACTGGGTTTCTTGAGGCGTAATACCATCAAAGAGCCTCTGTACACAATTTTTGTCAAGTGAACATTTTTTTCCAAAGAAATGAATAAAATGTATTTTGTCAGGAGTCAGAAAATCTACCCTGTTGTTTTTGTTCATGTGAAATTTGTATTAATCTTTAGCAAAAGAAAAGTATCAACAGCAATATGGTTTTTCCCCTAAAAACTATATTCATTTTAAAATATCAACTGCTCCCCTTTTTTCGCAATTTTATTGGTTCATAAATCCAAAGTGCTAGAATCACTGAAATAAATTCTTGTTTAATGGTTGTGGTACACGTAAAAACTGGAAAATGTTAGATATGAAAATGAGAAGATTGTTTTTCAGTTAAATACATAAAAATATGTATTTGCAAGCAGTTTTAAAATCTAAGCTTAAGTTTTAAAATCTAAGCTAAGTAATTAAGCTCTTACTCTTTTGTGTGGTGAATGGTATTTTGTGCCAGTGACATGGAAAGTGACTGAGACAGATTTTGGTACCAGGAGTGGAGTTATTGCTGAGACTATACCTAAATCTATGGTTTAGAAGCCTTTAGAACTGATTCAAGGAGGAGTTTGGAAAGATTCAGAGATGTTAGTGGGAAAAGCGGCCATAGAATGCTGTAAGCTGAGCTTGATGTGTGATACTGTTTGAAGCTCATAAGAACAGAATGCTGATAAAAAGGCAGAAGGAAAACTTCTAGACTCAAGAAGTTTTAGATGGGAACAAGAACTCCATTGGCACTCCATTGGGTTATATCGTGGTGAAATTTTTGTCTACATTTTGCTTATGTTCTGAGACTTTGAGTTAGAAAGAGATGAAGGGCAGTAGACTAATCTGGAAGAGGAAATTTCAAGGCAGCCCAGTATGGAAACTGTGGTATCGGTACTCCTGGGAGCTTTTAGCTGGCTTTACACTGAGAATCAAGAGTGATTGTAAAACTTTTGAGTTTCTCCAGAAAAGAAGATTCTGTAAAGTTAAAGCCTGTTAAGTTTTGGTTCAAGGGAGCTTGGTGGCTGAAAATATTAAAATGAAGCTAAGTGCTTTCATTCAGGATAATAGCAAGGGTGCCTTGAGTGTATCTTTGGAAACAGCAAGACTTCACCCTTCACAATGCAAAAGTAAAGATTTTGCTTCACAGAGCATAACCTCAGGACACTCTGCTTGGGAAGGGCCACCTAAGGAATTAGGACCTTGGGATTCATTCACAGTGCTCAGCCATTCTGGCACTTGGAGGCCTCTGGAGACATAAATCAAGGAGGCCTTGCTGCTGCTTGAGCTGTTACTAGACCATGATATCACTCATGCGGTGCTGATTTTATAATGCAAGAGTTGGAGGATGAGGAAATTTCTACCTGCACTTCAGAAGAAGGTGTGGAAGGCCAGGCAGTGTATCCCTGAGAGGGCACTCCCAGAAGCTGTGAGAATGAAATCAGAAAATCAGAAGTGCAGCAGAGACCACAAGGAGTTGGAGACCCAGGAATGTGGAATGTCTGACGAAGGCCACAGGCAGTGAGTAGTTCCAGCCTAAGACAGAGACATTACTTTTGCATATAAGGCAAGTTTACCCAAGCCATTTGGTGTTCACATCTTGCTACAACTTGCCCTAGGCACTGGACGTGAAGCTGTGGAATTAAATGTTTGCCCTACTGAGTTTTGGATCTTGTTTCTATTTTCCTGTTCTTTCTTTTTGAAATGGGAATGTTTGCCCTATACCATTGTATGTTGACAATACTTAACTTTTGTTCCGATGTTTTCATAAAAGTTCACAGCAGAGAGTTTGCCTTAAGTTTCAGAGAAAATTTTGGACTTGCACTTTTCAGCAATAAAACTGGTAAAACTTTCATGTCTTTTAGAGGTGAATACATTTCTAAAATGCATTTTTCATAAAGAAGAATGTGAGTCTTTTTGGACCAGGCATGAATGTTATGGTTTAGACCTAAAATGACTCCCAAAGTCTCATGTGTTTGGAAGATGGATGAATTATGGGGATAGATTAGCTGACTTGTGAGAGTTTTAGGAGTCTTCTCAGAAGGGATGGTCACTGGGGGTATGGCCTGGAAATGTATGTCTCCCTCCATGGCTCTGCCTTTGCTTCTCCTTTACCATGTCCTTCTGCCATGCTGTTTTTTTCTGGGGGGATAGCCAACCTGAAACTGAAACATGAGCCAAAATAAATCTCTCTTCCTTTACATTATGGGTGTCAGGTATTTTGTCCTAGCAATGAGGAAAGTGACTTAAGATAATGTGAAATGTTTAAACTCCAAAGTGACCATTTGTGAGATTATATTCAGGCTCTACTGTTCACTGGCTATATATCTCTAGAAAATTTTCCTCTGTGCCTTAGTATTCTAATCTCTGAAGTGGAATAATAAGCTTGCCTTCTTCATAAGGTTGTTATGATGATTAAATTAGCTACTTCAATGCAAAAAACTCAGAAGGTAACTGGTAT